CAGTGATTACATCGAAAAATCATACATTAGAACCATATTGTCCATGGGGTATTCTGCAACTTAGTCACTGATCACATGTGCGTGCGTTGTGTAGTTTAGCCACAAATCAGGAAGGAACACAAAAAAAATCGTTGGCTTCAACACATTTTCACCCATTTTTTTACATTACCACCATCACAGCTTCCACGCAACTTATTATTTATTACCAATATTTTAAGAACAAGAACACTTCATTTTATAGAATTGAATTTTAATTATATGCAATATGTTCATATTTCGCGAGTTATAACCTTGCAAACCCCAGCTTCAAGGAATTTAAAAGATTTTTGTAATTTCCCATATATCCTTTGATTTACACGAAGTTTGGCATAGCGTACTGAATTAAGTCTAGAAAGATATGTGTTAAATTTCGTGAAAATCGGTTCAGATTTAAATGTAGCTCCCATATAAATTTCCGTCCGATTTTAGGTAAATGGTGCACCAAAGAACCTATTTATATTTCGATTTACACGAAATTTGGCATATCATACTGAATTATACCTAGAATGATGTGTGTTAAATTTCGAGAAAATTTGGTCAGATTTACATATAGCTCCCATATATATTTTCGTCCGATTTAAGGTAAATGGTGCACCAAAGAATCTATTTTTATTTCGTTTTACACGAAATTTAGCATATCATACCGAAAATCGGTTCAGATTTAGATATAGCTCCCATATATAGTTTCGCCCGATTTTAGGTAAATGGTGCACCAAAAGTGCCTGAAAGTCATTCGATTTGCACGAAATTTGGCATAGCGTACTGCATTGAGTCTAGAATAATGTGTGGTAAGTTTCGAGAAAATCGGTTTAGATTTCGATAGAGTTCCCAAACCCCTTATGTTTGTCCGATTATTTTGCCGAAGTTTTACACAACGTATCAAATTGAGACTTGAATGACGTTATTGCGTTGTATTGAAATTGGTGCAGATGCAGCCATAGCTTCCATATGTATTTCGTACGAATGCCTGATTGAAATTTGCCCCATGGTAAGCAGACGACTCTAAATCTGCCCGAATGAAATTTTATTTATCAAAGCTCCCACATTACTTTTATCATAGGTTGCAGAAGGACATGAGAATACAACATACCCAAATTGACAACATACCGAAAGTGGTGAAGGATATCATATAGTCGGTCCAGTCCGACTTTAATACTTTCCTTAATGTTTTTGTTTTTTTTTTTTAAATGCTTTTGAGGGACTCTTAACAAGTCCAGATTCTAGTGTGTACACAAAGGGTACATTTTTTAAAAATAGTTCTGTGAGTCTCTCGACAAGTGTGAATATTTCAAAATATTTTCAGAGGTTCGATTTAAAAACTTGGATTGTTTTAAAAATATTTGAGGGGAGGCTTCTCAACAAGCACAGATTTGTTTTAAATATTTTTAAGAGTCTGTCAACCTTTAGGTGAAGTTTTTGATATATCCAATTTTGTATCCTGGTATCTAATTTTTATCGATCTCACGAAAGGCGCGGATTTCTTATTAATTTATTTTTTATTATTTTATTTTTTTGAGGGTCCTTATTCATGCAGAATTTTTGAAAATATTTTTGACGTTTTTTAAAATTTTTGGTGGCGGTCTTGATTTGTTTAACACTACTTTTGTTGGTCTCTCAAAAATGTGAATTATTTTTTCTAATATTTTTTACCGGTCTCTTAAGAAGGGAATCTTTTAAAAAAAATTGGTTGGGGTGGTTCTTCACGAGCGTTATATGAAGGCTACCTGAAACTTGGGTCAATTTTAATAATTTTTGATACGGATATGCGTTATTGAATGAGAACCCAAAATACCAAATTACAGCCAATTCGTTTGGAAAACGTGTCCCAAAATCCCCAAAATACCGAATATTGGGGGTACCGTTATATGGGGGCTACCCTGAAACTTGAGTCAATATTAATAATTTTTGTTATGGATATGTGTCATTCAATGCGAACCCAAAATACTAAATTACAGCGAATTTGTTTGGAAAACGTGTCCAAAATCCTTAAAATATCGAATATTGAGAGGTACCGTTATATGGAAGCTACCCTGAAATTTGAGTATTCTTGTTCCTATGGAAGACCTGGAGGTGTTTTCCTTCCTATGGAAACCTGGAGGTCTTCTTCTTCCTATAGGAAAGCTGGAGGTATTTTTCTTCATATAGGAGAGGTGCAGGTATTCTTCTTCCTGTAGAAGAGCTGCAGGTACTTCTATTCCTATGGAAGGGCTGCTGGTATTCTTCTTCTTCCTATGGAAGACCTGGAGGTATTCTTCTTCCTATAGGAAAGCTGCACATAATTTTCTTCCTATATGAAAGCTGGAGGTATTTTTATACCCTCCACCATAGTATGGAGGGTATATTAATTTTGTCATTCCGTTTGTAACACATCGAAATATTCATTTCCGACCCTATAAAGTATATATATTCTTGATCAGGGTAAAATTCTAAGACGATCTAGCCATGTCCGTCCGTTTGTCCGTCCGTCCGTCTGTTGTAATCACGCTATCTTCTGAAGGAATTGAGATAGTGTGCTGAAATTTTGCATAAAGTTGTCTTTTGTCTGCAGGCAGGTCAAGTTCGAAGATGAGATATATCGGTCCACGTTTAGGCATAGCTCCCATATAAGGGTACCCCCCAATTTTCGGTATTTTGAGGTTCCTGAGCGTGTTTTTCAACCGAATTCGCTGAAATGTAATATTTTAAGCTCCTATTGGGAAGCAAATCTCCCTACTAAAAATTATAAATATAGGTAATTTTTTTCAGGTACCCCCCATATAACGGTACCCCCCAATTTTCGGTATTTTAGGGTTCTTGAGCGCCGGATTCAACCGAATTCGCTGAAATTTGGTACATGGGGTTCTTATTGGGTACCAAATTTCCCCACTAAAAATTATTAATATAGGTCCACTTTTTCCGGTAGCCCCCATATAAGGGTACCTCCCAATTTCCAGTGTTTGAGGGTTTTGACCGGACTTTTTTACCAAATTGGCTGTAATTTAGTATCTTGAGTCCTTAATAGCTACCAAATCTCCCCACAAAAAATTATGAATATTGGTCCATTTTTTCGGATAGCCCCCATATAAGGGTACCCCCAATTTTCGGTATTTTGGGGTTCTTGAGCGCTTTTTTAACCAAATTTGCTGCAATTTGGTATTTTGTAGTTGTATATAGTAACAAATCTCCCTACCAAAAATTATTAATATTCGCCCCCTTTTTGAGGTAGTCTCCATATAACCCCCTTTTTATATTAAAATAGTTATCTGATTTGTTCTCCTGCGGAGGGAAGCGAAATACGATATTTTAACGTAAGGTTCGATAATGAACTATAGCCGCATTTAGATCTAGCCCATGTGTGAAGGTTCCAGAAGGATCCGATATTCCCCATCTTTGAATTTGAACTAAGTTTGGAAGAAATAATAAAATAGGCGAAGTTTGGATGAAATTTAAATTTTCTGAAACGGATTTGGTCCAAAGAAATTTTGGGTCTAGAACCAATATTTCGATGAGGCACATTTTCACCGTGTTAAATTGTATACACCCTTATTAGCCATAAGGCAGAGGGTATAATTATCCATTAAAAATTTCTGAAATTTTTATTATGGTTTACATAATCCATTTTTAGAAATGTCGGTATAGGTCCACTTTTTGGTATGTTCCCTATATTTTCATTTCTAGTACATGTCAGTATATCTATGGTGGAGGGTATCCAAAGTTCGGCCCGGCCGAACTTAACGCTTGTTCTTCACTTGTTCTTCATATAGGATAGCTGGAGTTCTTTTTCTTCCTAGAGGAGAAACGTTGGTATTCTTCTTCCTGTGGAAGAGTTGCAGGTATTCTTCTTCCTAACGAAGCTGCAGGTATTCTTCTTCCTGTGGACGATCTCCAGACATTCTTCGTCCTATGGAAGATCTGGAGGTATTCAATTCAATGAGAACCCAAAGTATTAAATTATAGCCAATTAGGTGGGAAAATGTGTCCAAAATCCCCAAAATACCGAATATTGGGAAGTACCGTAATATGGGGGCCACACCAAATAATGGACCAATATGTCCCATGTACTATACCAAACATATTAGGAGTAGTAGCAATGTATGTGCAAAATTTCAAAACTCTATCTTAAATTCTGCGATCTCTATCGTGATTTCAAAAGACAGACAGCCGCACGGACTTGTAAATCGACATAGAATTTTATTCTGATCAAGAATATACATACATTATGGGGTCTCCGGTGAATATTTCGATGTGTTGTAAACGGAATGACAATTTTAACACACTCTCCACCTTTCGGTGGAGGATTTAAAAATATATTTTTATAACCACGATAATGTATTCCGATTTGCAACAATGACCTTGACTTTGACTTAATAAAATATTTGAAAACGAAGCAAAAAAATCCAGTTTTCTGGTGTTCGTATTAAAAAAACTTGAATTTATAATTCAATATTGTTGCAATGAGATTTTTTGTATGTCATGTTATGAGGTAAATATTATTGGTATAGATTTATAGAATCGGAATAGAGGCTTTAGAACAAATATTTTTGTCAAGCCTTGCTTAAAGCTTTGATGGTCTTTAAACAATCTAATTTCAAAATGTCATTCTCAAAAAATCGTTAAAAATCCTCTTACGTCTCCGAGAATCTCAGAAAATGGTTGGTTCTCCCAAAAATATTCCACTTTTATGTCCCTGGCGTATTTTTTTCGCCAATCGCCAATCTCCTTAGTCGGAGATTTTGTAATTTTTTTAAGTAGCCTTTTTCAACATTTGACACTTTCAAATATAATTCGAAAAAATATACAAATTGCCATATTTTTCCATATCGAATTATTATTTTTTTCTTTACATATTTTGCAGTTAATAATAACTTCGTGCCACTTTCATATCGACTTATTTTCTTTTCTTTATATCTTTCGTATTTTTTTCTAACTTCCTTTATGACATCTTCTTCACACATACACCTTCACACCCGCTCAATACTCACCAATCGGAGCTCTCTTTCCCGAAACATTGGCGGCCAACTTCTGTGCCCCAACTTCTGCCTTACACACGGTACGATTAAAACCCGGTGTCATATCTGTGGCGACACGTTCCGCTTCCGTAGCACTATAATCCGTAACATTTTCAAAATTAAAAGCATCACAATCGATATCATAGGCAGATTTATCCAATGTTGTCGAACACACCATACGGCTATAGCCCAAATTAACACTGCACGCCTTGTCCAGGGGAAAATTCAAAATGGCAATAATATTGAATATGCTTGCCATCAAATAGAAGAAGAAAAATGGTTCGATGACCAAATAACGGCGATAACGCCAAACCTTTTGCAAATAACTGAGCTTTTCCTCATTTTGAGGGGTGGCGTTAGGCGAATCCATTTCTTTTATTTTTTAATGAATTTTGAATATTGGGAATTTAAATATTTTATTTTTGTTTTTTTGTTACACGTTCGATATCGTTTTGTTTTGCACGATC